AAGTGCCTTACGTTCGCCTTGAACAGCCCCTTAGAGTGTCGGTATAGGGGGAGTATCAATTTAACCACCCACGGTGCCTCTTTACCAGGGTATGCAAAATATTGCGCCCCCGGGTGGGCTCGAACCACCAACCTTTCGGTTAACAGCCGAACGCGCTAGCCAATTGCGCCACGGAGGCCGATGGAGAAGGAATCAGAGTTAATTTCTAATGAATTGATCTAAATAATCAAGAGCTGTTTCCATAAAATGTTGACTCGGCTTTTTTCACACTGATACACATTGTTACTGAAAAACATGCATAAGCGCGTGGAGTCTCGAAGTGATTATAGAGTCTGGCCTATCAGATCTCCCGATCGCACTAGAGTGTGCTACCGAGCTAAGGGAAAACACCGTATGAACCTTCAGGCGTTGACAAATTTCCTTTGATAAAACGCGAATTTCCTGGTGAACTTATGAATATTTCCCTCTCAATTTTTCAGATAATTTTGTTCGCAATTTCACCTAAAGATTCTGAAAATTTAAAAGAAAAATATTCATAACTTTCCTCAAAAATAGACATTATAGCGCAGGAAATTTGGCAACTCTCGAATGTTCATACGGCGTTCTTCCTTGGAACGGCCGAGTGCCTATATAGGAAAAGTACGGACATATCGATGAGCTCTTATGGCTCAGATGGGCAGCCAACCTTCTGACTAGAAAAATGTCACTATCAATCTAGAAATTCCAATATTAGACCAGGATGGCTAAGAATGTTGATAAATGAGCGTTCTTCCGCAAAAAGAAGTAAACTTATGCAGAAACTACGTCAAATACTTGCTTTACATATGACGGGTTGTAACAATTGTAATAATAAACCGGACAATGGGCCAGTTGCGCTGGTAACAGAATCGTGTTTTGATGTTTGATTCTTGTGAATTAGCTAAGAATAAGATGATTCATCCAAACAACAACTTTCTACGTTGAATATTAACCGAGATGTCGTCCTTTGAAAAGTCAGGTTTTTGACGTCATCCACCGCGGTAGTGCATAACATGTTATGTACTACTGCAGTGGATGACGTCATAAATCTAGTTTTTAAGGTGCGATATCTAGGTTAATATGCAACTTAGAAAGTTGCTGTTGGGACAGCTCTTACTATTTTTAGCCAATCTACAATAATCAAACATCAAAACACGATTCTATTACCAGCGCGACTGACCCATTGAATAGTCCGGATAATATGAATTCATAGGATGGCTGCCTTTTTGAACCCCAAAAGCTCCATTATCTACCCCCAAAATTACCGACGTGCATGTTCGAGCTCTCCCTGTATAGGTACTCTAGCCCTGGGTCATATTGCCTTCCACTAAAATTAAATTCGTTAGTATTGTTTACAGACGCCTAGCTACACGGGAAAAACCTAATTTCATACGGAGCACTAACGTGTTCAGTCCAGAAGACCGAGCTATTCGGTCAGAAGGACTAATTTCAGTTCAGGTAATGGAAGTTCTTGTTCGATATAATAGAACTCGTACAGCCAACCGAAGATTATGGTTATCTGGACCCAGGGTCGAATTTACCTACTCGCCGCCTGTATTTTGCCGCCCCCTTCTCATTCGTTCCGAAACATAGATAAAAACCATCAAGTGAACGTGCCAGAGGGAGAGGGGTGCATAAGACGCGTTTACTCGTGTTGGACACATTTTTTGTGAAAGCCCTGTCAACACTTCTAGGAAGAGTTCACGAAACTTTGCGCGGAGGTTAAGTTCCGTGGACAAGTCCTCCCATTTACAAGTATTGAACGAAACAATTATGAAAGGACAAACATAAGGTGGTTTAATAATATTAACTTCTGCCGCGCCGGCGCGCCGCGCTGACCGCACTGTATTTGGCGCAGTGCGTGAAGTATTCATGCAGTCTTGTAGGCGCTATGCGTTTCACGCCGACCGCTGCTGACCGCACAGTGTTTGATGAAATGCGTGAAGTATTCATGCAGTCTTGTAGGCGCTAATATGTGTTACATGCCGACCGCCGCGCCGCGCCGAGGGCTTCTCCTTTTCATCTCAAGTCCTCGTCCAGGCCAAATTGCGTGTTTGGTTTCTCTTTTAACTCGACTAATTAAAGGTGCTGCCTTTTATATCACCGAGAGACGTCAAAATTAGAAATATTACTCTTCTCTCAGGAGATGAGAAATTTTGTCGCGTTTTCTCGTTTGTATTTTTTTTTGTCTGGATCCGATTTTTTTTTTATACCTACATTTAAAAAAAATTCAAAATTTGCCGCCCCCCTACTTTGCCGCCATGGGCCGCGGCCCATGTGGTCGTCCCCTAAATCCGGCCCTGTCTAAACCAAAGTTAAGTTTGTCCGGCCGAAAACTTCAAAGTGCCGAATGAAGATAGGTCCTTGTGACCGAAGTACTTTTCTTGATATCATATTATACTTCTATACACGGAAACAGTTGAACATTTCAAACTGAAATTACACCGATTATTCATCTGATTACACGCTAAAACTAGGAGAATTTTAGGTAGAAATTGCACGATCATATTCTTGTTAAAAATAAAAATTTGAGTTAATTTGCAACTTTGGAATGGAGTTCCGTACCATTAGGGAAACTACGAACTGTGCGCTTAAAGTAAAATTCGTCGGTTCTTATTGTTTGAACGATTCATATGTCATTTGGATAATTGTCGAAATTTCACGAAAAACTGAGGAATGATTCAATAAAATTTTCCACACCGGCAATACCCGCAGCTCCATTTTCTAAACACTTCAGTTTTGAACTTACCGTTCTATTCAATAGAGCGGCACACGGCACATGAGTACAGTCATGGTACTAGTCATGTTGCCGTTCACCGAAATTGAAGGCGCAACAAGCGTTCGTAGACGCAGACGTTGCGTTGACGCGCGCGAGAGATACGAATGCGAATGAGTTGTATTGGAGCGTCAGAGCTAGCCGTGTTGCTGCGAATAAAATTGAACACTGGAAAAAAAAACACATTGAATCTAGAGTCTAGACTCTTGAAAACATTGACAAGAGAAAATACTCTTGATTCAATCGGAATTTTGCTTGAATCAAAACGAAATCCGCTTAAATCAAGAGGCTTTGTTCTTGATTTAAGCTAGATTCTGATTGAATCAAGAGTACTTTTTCTTGTCGATGTTTTTAAGAGTCTGGACTCAAGATACAATGTGTTTTTTTCCCAGTGAAGGCACATTTTGCTTGCATTCGAGGTTACATTCAACCGCTTTCTGGGGACCATCACAAAGTATTAGTAACAAGCACCATGATAGTTTTCCCTGCAAAATTTTACGTAGAACATGATGGACAAAGAAACTTTCAAACAATACCTTATGGGTGAAAAATCGCTATTTTCTAGGTTCGTCTACTGAAATTTCTTACTCATGTAGAAAAACCCGAATTCATTTGAATTTAGAGTTTAAGTCCAAAGTCCAACGTCAAGTCCCAAGTCAAAGACACATTTTGACACAATTCCCTGAAATTTGAGGAGACACGGAGTGGATACTCAATTTACAATTCGACGCTTTCATTTTCAACAGTTCAATCCGATACTTTTATTGGACGCAACGTTTGATCCCACGAAATGGATCTCAAAGTAACGTAAATAGGTGTTCTCTAGGCTGGAGGTAGATCTACTGAAGTTCAGTGTTGTGCAACCACTTTGAAGTGTACATAAATTCAACTAGGTGCGTCAAGGTTGCGGCAAGCTAAATCGAAACGCCTTCAAATTTTCGTTTATGCAACTTGGTCATCCGTTAGACACGAATAGTTGCATCAAGGCGCTAGAGTCAACATCGCGTCATGTGAACGTGGGCTTGTTATAATAAATTGGAGGCCCCTTCTACCGTGCCAAGAAAAAACGCCGCGCCGTATAAAAATTCGAACGTTGTCACCGCTCAACTGATGACACATTCACTTCCGGAAAAAAAATAGAGTTGTTTCCTTTAGCTATATCATTGATTAAGCTGGAGTAAAGTGTGAATCACGCCAATTGAGCCCGTTGTCACGCAAGATTTGACGTATTAATGCTAAAAGGAACAATAAGCATAGGGATTACGTCCAACATACTTCCTTTTAGCATAAATACGTCCAATTTGTAATCAAAAGCTTCAAACTCATTCTACAGGGCACACGCACAAAGGTGGTTTCACAATTTTCCCCTGACTTTTCCGCCATTTACTCTAGCATTTTCCCGTAATTCCGATAATCTCTGACTGCGGCAATACTTATATGCCGAGTACCTGTCTCAAACTCGAAGTGTCTGTCCCAAGAAGAGGGTTGCCATAATTTCAGCATCTTCAAATTCTCTGACTTTTTCCTGATTACTTTTGTATTTCCCCAACTCCCACATTTTATAATTATTTGACTTTCCCTGACCTTCGAACGAAATTTCCTCTTTTTTTCTTTAATTATTTATTTATTTAATACGACGTTTTTCGCATAACTGGGGACACAATTTCCTTGGTTGAAGATCAAATAATGGAAAGAGGCATTTGGTGGCTGGTCGAAAGATTACAAGGATTAAAATGACCAAGTAGGAATATCAGTGGCATCTTTTAGTAATTAGTAGGTAGATGATCGGCAATTCTCTGACTTTTCCCATGAACTACCTACAGGGTTGCCACAAAATTTGGAAAATTCAATTCCCTAACACTTTCCTGATTTTCCTGACACATTTTGGTAAAATTCCCTGACAATTGAACATGATCCAGATTTTTAAAAAGACATCTTTAGAAATAGTTTTTAGGCAAAGTGTGTTGATCGAAAAGTCAAACTCACTCGAGAGAGTAAATAAAGGTGACTTGACGATTATTTCCTGACATTTTCGTCATAGTCCCTGACATTGCCAGATTTTCCCTGACTTCTCAAAATTCCCTGACATTGCTCAGTTTTTCCGGCATTCCCTAAGTGTGACAACCCTGCTTCTGACTCTTCTCAGTCGTCGGAAATGCTCTGAAATTCCGCAAATTCCTGTTTTTTCAAACCACTGGCAACCCTGAAAAAACCATGAAAATGATAACACCCTCCCACATCGATAATAATTTGGACTGCAATTTGCAGTTAGGGGCTACAATTTCTACCTCGGTTTAGAAAAAATGTCTAAGCAACTATTTTCCGTCTGCATATCAGTGTTTTCACCAGAATTTTCGCAGATTTTGGAAAATTAAATTCCCTGACACATTTTGATGTAATTCCCTGACAATTGAACAAATGACAGATTGTTGAAGAGACATAGTTAGAAATAGGTTTCAGGCAAAATGTATTGTTCGAAACGTCAAACCCACTCAAGGAAGCAAATGAAGGTGATTTGACGATTTTCCCTGAAAATTTCGTCATTTTCCTTGATATTATCAGGTTTCCCCTGACTTTTTAAAATTCCCCGATATTTCCCTGACCGTGGCAACACTGTTTAACGGATGGACGTACTTCAGTTAAACGGAACTAAGCGCCAAATTGAGTTCCTTTTGAGGATGTATGAATCCCGGATAGCGCGTTCTGTCAAACGGAACTAAGCGCCATAGAAAAGCATTGCGCATATAGGACGGACCGAGCATCGCGTTCTGCAACACCCGCCAATCCAAGCCCCCTCTCCCTTCCTCCCCCTATGGCGCTTAGTTCCGTTTTGTAGAAATACGTCCAGATGGACCGGAAATAGAGATGTTGCAGGTGTGAGGAATTTGCGATTTGACCAATGATTCTTATGTAAAAGTTCGCGAGAACCACGATGGTGCCACTGGTTTTCTCTGAAATCATCTCCCAAGCTCAAAAAAAGCTCTCAAGTTGAGGCCAAAATGGAGGGGATATCCCACGCTACCCTGAGGGTCCACCTCTACATCAAGACAAACTTTCCATGCAAAGATAGGGAGCAAATACATTGACAGGGCTGCCACTTTATTTGGAGACTCTAAAACTGAAAACACGGCAACCCTATTAGTGTATTTGCTCCCTATCTTTGCATGGAGAGTTTGTCTTGATGTAGACGTGGACTCCCGGGGTAGGGTGGGGTATCCCCTCCAATTTGGCCTCAACTTGAGAGCTTTTTTTGAGCTTGGTAGTTGATTTCAGAGAAAACCAGTGGCACCATCGTGTTTCTCACGAACTTTTACATAAGAATCAACGGTCAAATCGCAAATCCCTCACACATGCAACATCTCCATTGTAGTTCCCAATGGCAAATCGTTGTCGATTTAAATGATCGTTAGGACTTACCCTGCGACCATTGGCTCGAATGCTGTCCACCGTCATCATAGTTTTCAAGAAGGCGAAGTAGGAAGCGGCGGTGAAGTCCCGCTCGGGTTGGTAGAGGTGGTAGATCTCGTAGACGAGGGAGTTGCGGTTGCAGTCGTTGCTCTTGATGCTCGACATGGCCGGCTGACTCGCCACTTCGATCATCGAGTCCGTGTAGTTCAGTTGCAGGTAAGGAGCCACCTCCACGTTGAACACCATGTTGCACCCGCCAGGCACTGGAGCTGAAAGAAAAACACAGAATAGAGGATATGCAGGTGTCTTAAATTTTACGACTTTCATCATTAAAATGATCCTGCTGGAAAAACCGAGTGCGAGGATATCCTTGGTTTCTAATTGAGCAATGGAGATGTTGCATGTGTGAGGAATTTGACTGTTGATTCTTACGTAAAAGTTCGCGAAAAACACGATGGTGCCACTGGTTTTCTCAGAAAGCAACTCCCAAGCTCAAAAAAAGCTCTCAAGTTGAGGCCAAAATGGAGGGGATATCCCACGCTATCCTGAGAGTCCACCTCTACATCAAGACAAACTCTTTAGGCAAAGATAGGGAGCAAATACATTAGCAGTGATGCCGTGTTTTCAGTTTTAGAGTCCCCAAATAAAGTGGCAGCCCTGTCAATGTATTTTCTCCCTATCTTTGCATGGACAGGTGGTCTTGATGTAGAGGTGGACTCTCAGGATAGCGTGGGATATCCCCTCCATTTTGGTCACAATTTGAAAGCTTTTTTTGAGCTTGGGAGTTGATTTCAGGGAAAACCAGTGGCACCATCGTGTTTCTCGCGAACTTTTACATAAGAATCAAAAGTCAAATCGCAAATTCCTCACACATGCAACATATCCATTCTTGAAGGAAATAAGACAAAATAACGTAATCTGCTAAAATACATGTGTTTAAATGGAAAATGCCGCCAGATGACGTCATAAGGCGGCACATTTTCTCACTTTTAAATCTATTTACCTGCAATGTCCCATGTCAGAAAAAATTATGAACTGCGAACTTAGCTCATTGACACTTTCAAAGGAAGCGATACAATTTTTGTGTGCAAATTCTCCGTTACATGCATCAGCATCATGCAGAAGTTTGACTGAATACGTAGATATGCTCCTTCTGACCCTTTCCAAGGTTGCAATTTTTCATAAAAAATAAAATCTTGAAAATCCATGTGAAATATTTCATGAGATTTCAGAAAAATATGAAAAATGGTGAATGATATTTTCCGAGATTAAATGCAAAATTAAATTAAAGGCGGCTGGTTTTTGCCGGTTGACCGTTTTATTGCACTAACTTTAATTTTACATACGATTCAATGCAAAAGTTTGTTCAATACCGTCCGACACTAACACATCAGACTTTGAATCCAACTCGTCTTGACCAACGATAGGTCTCATGCTCTCAACTGAGGAATCACCGCTAAGATCACCGAGTTGAATGTGTGGCCTATCTTATGAATTGAAGGAAAAACTTACGCTTCAAGCGCAAGTTCTCTGGACGTCTGTGAGCAGACAGGACATTCATAGCACATTAGGTTGTAGTATTTTGGTACGATTTATCACTTAAAAAGTTTCTAATTTTTACAGTAAACAAACGGCTTCGAAAAATAATTATTTAAAAAAAAAAATGAATAATAAAAAAAGATAAAAAGAAATAATGAGTGCCTATAGTCTAAAAAATGTATAAAGGTATACTACCGTTTTTTATTAAGTATTACTCAGAGGCTTTTGGGAGGTAAATATTTAGGAATTTAAAGCAAAAATCATGCCATGCCTAAAATTGAAAAAGGGTTTTACTTAAGGACTTAAAATCCACATTCCTAGGTCAACACAAATACAACACAAAAAGGCTACATCATGCATTCATTTACGCATGCTGCACTACAAGCCTAATTTATTCTTTAAATTTTTATAGATTCAATAAAAAATAATACATTAATGCTTAGGTTACAAGATAAAATGAAGATGAATAAGAAATGAGAATCTTCCAATCTTTTTTAAAAGTTTCTCAGCTTTTTTCCTCATCAATTAATGCACCTAATATTTCCACTTTTTACTTCTACTCAATACTTGCCGCTCTGATAAAAAATTCCAACTGTAAACTTACATTAGAAATACACAGAAGCATACAAAAAAATGAGCCCACTGTATTGGAGATAGGTACTACATGAAATCTTTGTTTCAGGTACCTACAAGAGAAATTTTTTGAGTTTTGTACTCCTAATATTCAACACTTCTAAAACCTCAGAATTTAAGATGAATTTAATCTAAATTTTTTAAAGCCTTCTTGAAGTTTTATTCCTTCGTCAAACTGAATTTAATTCATGATTTTGCCTCTATAAAATGCTTGCAACCAGACTCTACTGACAAAAATGTATTATCTTGCTGTGATACAGGTCTCTTTATTTTTTCTTTTCATCTGCTCAGTTAAGAGACGTTGTGAAACTTGGCTCATTTGACATTGCTCAGTGTGAAAAAAATCTTCCATGCCTCTAATATCTAATGCATGACTTTAAAATTCTACTGTGACCACCAAGTTGTGCAAATAAAAAGAATTTTGCATCCCCTTAAATGTGGAATATAGGTACTCACTGGTCTTGGAATATCCAATTACGTTGAGCATGGCAGCCACCTTCATCGGATTGGGGTTGGAAAGCTCGAAAGTTGCTGATCCAAGTTTCCCTGAATTAGATTCGGCAAGGCCAACATTGGTTCCTTTAACGCTGTAATTTTCTCGATCAACACTTGAGGTGAAAGCTAATGTGACTTCATGAATATGGGCATGAACTTGGCTAATCACAAACCCGAAGTTGGCGGGAATGTTGATGACTTGGATTGTGTAATTTTTGAAAGGGGCAAGAATGGTTTGAATCTCATAGAGTTCATTCGGTTCACTTCCTTTCAAATCGAAGAAAAAGTCCTCTGAAACAAGCGGAGAAATTGAAATTAATATAGTTCCACAATACACTGTCACTGTTACTCACTGTCTTAAAATCATTGAAATGACCAGGATTGATGTTCTAACTTCATTTTAATATTTCAAAATCTATTCGAGAGAATAAACTGATTTTTAGGAGCCATAATAATTGATAGAGCTGAAAATGAATAGGAGTACATCAGAAATTTGAGCTCGGACAATATTATAGGTGCCACTAATGGAGCTAATAAGTACCTTTGGTGCCAATACCTGATTGGGAGGCGCATTTTACAAACGGAACTTGGTGAAGTAAGAATATTGGCTTTCGATTGGAGAAGAGATGCGGATTGACCTGTCTATTTTTTTTTTTTTTTTGCAGCAGTTTGTGATTGCAAAAATTAAAAATAAGTAATAATTTTCACCCAGCATCAAACAGTTGTACTTAACGCCATATGAGAACTAGTACTAGTGCTGCTAAAGGCAATGGACATAGTTTCTGAGCATAGTAAAACGTCAGTCCAATTCAAATTAAATTCTGGTCCAGTAATTTGATTTCTTTTCTATAGAAAACATAGATATCTACATTTTCTTTGTTTTTTTTTACCAATTTCAAGTTGCCTGTTAGCTTATCCCACGCTTATTATCCTAGCCCCAGGTGACCATTGCCTGAGACCATCAAACACAGGTCACCTGACAGGGAATCGAACGCGGGACTCCTTGGTCATAGGGCCAGCGCTACAACCATAGGAGGCCAACAAATAAGTAAATGAATAAAATGTACAAACTGGGAAACTGCTAAATTTTAGACTCATTACTGACCTACGCATCAGCAAATGCAATCTTGTGCATTCATTGGTTTGAAATAATTTAAGATCAAATAAACGCATAAGGTATCTGTCATAGGCTAATATATACACATGTAATCAGAGTAAAGATAATTTTAGGTAGTGTCAGCAATTTTGCGCTGAATATGACTGGACTCAGCATCACAACATTCATTCATGAATGACAGATCTCTAGCAATTACTGTTGCAATATTTCACCAAATAGCAACATCATTTTTTTTTTTTGTCTGAATGAGGCTGATAACAGAATATAAACATTTTAAATTGGGTCTGATAAGCCTCTATCAAAATAGCAAACTCATTTTGATACTGTTAAAGTCAAATTCAGAGAGGATTGAAAAGAGTGAAGGTCAGGAGAGAGAGACATTTGACTTTATTACAAAGATAACGATTTTTTCCTGATAAGGGCTAATAGGTATAAGGGTTATATAATGACAGCCACACAAGAACGCTCAAAGCAACAATGTGCCTTCCCTGTAGCCTTCCGTTGAAAAAAATATATTCTAACATTTGAAATAATATCACACAGTTTTATTTAACATACTTTTGCAAGGATAAAGTATATTCACTGAAGTAACGGATAATAATGAGTACCTACCTCCGTTGGTTCGGACATCATTGGTGAGTTCATTGATTTCATGAGAGAGCGAGGTCAGACTTAGAATGATTGCAACAATGAGACATTGGTACTTTAGAGGCAGCTTCATAATCGAAAATAATTACGTAAAATAGTTACACAGTTAACACCTTAATTATAATGTAAATTAAGTACAGAAAGTTCCTGAATCATTCGCAAGGATGAATCGACAAGAAAAGTTCATGATAAGAGAAAACCTCAGAAGTGCATTACAAGAAACGCATCTAGAACTCAAACAAGAAAAATAGAAAGCACAAAATTGAATGCACGTGTATGAATTCACGACGAATAATAATGAATTTCAAGAGGCACACCGAAATGAATTGATAAAGGAAAGGGGGCCGATGACTGATAAAAACAATAACAATGCAACATAACCTCTTCTTCTCCGAGTTGAGTGTATTGATTTGAATATAATTTGAACAGCTGATAGGTAAACTTGTAGTATACCGAGGTAGGGGCGCTGCGGGCTTATTCCTTCCCAATATGGCAGTATGGATCGATGGAAGTTCAGTGATCTGTTAGTGACTAAATATGAATAAACATGTAACAAGTGTCGTTAGTGATAAGTTCTCAGTGTTTTAGTGGTTATGGGAAAAGACCAGGAGCTTTTGGAAGCATCGAGGAATGGAAATTTCCCGGTTGTGGAAAAGATTCTCGCGTCGAAAGCAAAAAGGAGTGGCCCCCTGGCCAGGTATGAATTGCATTGCTTTTACCCATAAGAGACCAATACACAACTACTGATAAGCTCCGTATTCGATCGTTTTTCCGTGAATCGTTTCAATTTCTTTTCATGACGATTCTATGTTATGTATATAACATTTTCTCTGTCATCTGTCAGGTCTCCTGATCATGCTATATCAAGAATATTCATATTTACCTATCGGGCAGTGATAAGGTTAAGTTGATTACTTGGAGTCCATTTGGACCAAAGTCTTCGAATGCTACGTCAGGGTACCTGATTCAACCCTCTGCATTGTCGATAAGGACCCTCTCTTGTCTTGAAGCCCAGGTTAAGGCTTAATTTTACCCTGAAAACTTTCTAAAAGTGAAGTCAAGACACGGGTGCTGTGTTATCATACAAAGAATTACAATTCGATTACAATTGAAGTTCATAATCCAACGCTAATAAATGAGACTTAGACTCCTTACTGTCTGTCTACTCATCGCACGATACGAAGTCAGTCATATGAAGTTTTGAGTGCTGTTCCGTATAAGTTGAATTAGTGGTGGAATCCAAATTAATATTTGGCGTCTTGATTATAATCTATTAGCATCATAAGCCGCATATTCAAGACTCTGAAAGTCATGAAGTGCTCTGTGATACAGATCAGTGTGTGGCGTCTCTGTAGACTAGCTTTCAAAACTTAGTTCTAGGGAGCTGAAATAAAATGCTGTAGCAAGTCTGTATAGATAATGTATAATGGCTGGTAGGTGAGATGCTATGAATATACTGTTAGGTATCCCTCCTTTACGTGAAGAACCTAGATGAAATTTACCTCCTGGCTTTTTCAGAGCTCAATGTCAATAAACTGTGTCAGAACAATCTTAGTCATCACATATTAATGTGATCGCCCCGTATCATTGAGCTTGTTGTCAGATTTGAACATGCATTTCATAGTCCGACAAACTGAAAGCTATTTTTGCCAGCCAGAAGGAAGACTCGTTCAAACGAACCATTAAAACTAAATTTTAAGGCTCAGAGTTCTAAGGTCTGCCCATGATCTTCTGAGCAGTGCTGATTCCTTCATCAAGTAAAGGTTTAAAGTACACCAAATATTCTGAATGCCTGCTTATTATTTCTCATTCCTTAATGGGCCATCATCTCCATTAGAATGAGTAACAATTAGAGGAAATATTAAGGTCGCCCCCATGAAAGTCGCTAGTCCCCAATTGTCATTGGGTATTTCAGGAATAAAGTGACGGAAGTGGAATCATCTCCCACGAAGAATTCGTATGTAGGAGAGCAAAATGGGTAGAGGGGCAAAACAAAAATATGGTTTAGGTATCATGAAGATTTTGTCTCTGTATTTTTTTGGATCCCTCTGTAGTTTTCTGATGACTTTAGAAGATTCCCTCAAACGTAGGCTTTTCCCCAGCAGGTGAGATCATTTCATCAGTAATACATTTAGATTCTCAGCAATCGACTAGTTTGTAAACTTTTAAAACTGATTTCAATGAACTGTCTCAATTATGAATTTGATCGAAAGTCTTGTGTTTCATCTGGAAGACTGAGTGCACATTACCCCCTCCACCCCCCCTTTGGAGGATGTTGGCTAAGTTGAGAAGGGTATTAATTAGTACACAAGGTTAGAAGGACAATTAATCAAAAATATCACTTTACGATAGCTCGGTCTTTATTCCCTTCGCACCCTTCTTATTTGTAATCTTACTCTCAAATAGAATTAATAACAAAATGGCAAATTAATGCCTCTCTAGTGCCTACCTTTAAAAGAAATTGGGAATCTTCAGGAGGCCCTCTTCGTTTTTTTTTTTTTTTTTTTTTTTTTTTTTTTTTTGCGTTTCTCTCAAAAAAATTGTCGACACCAAGCTCTACTGAATGGAGGCACCTTCAAAAACTACTAATTAATTTTGAAAAACTAATCACAGTTGCATAATTTAGAGTCACTCAAGCTTTTCTCTTACTCCTTTTCCCGGTCCTCACATTAAATTTCTACCTCCTAGAGCGCAGAGTATGTGAGAACCCTCGTCAAAATTTGATATTTTTGAACATGATATTTTAATCAGAATCGCTGGAATTTTTTCTACGTCCCCTCCCCAAAATTTAACCTAATCTGTCATCAGTTTATTTGCGTTCCCCTCGTTGTCAGGCCGCTTTCCAGAGAATGAAGAACTGGACTTCGATCTCCTCTCTATACGGCCGATTCGGAACTGAAGTCCGTGTGCCGTGCTTTCATTGCGTCAAGGACAGGGTTGCGTAACTGAACGTTTTAATTGAATATTTCATTCTTCAGCTCTGCGACACCGACACGGTTTCGCAAATCCTGTTCTTTTTGACATCGTGAAAGCTGATCACATTCCAGGATTGCCGAATGTCGATTAGTCCCAGCCCAAAACCCCCCTTTCCCCGCCCACATATTTGCATCGTTTGATTAGATTGAACATGAGTCATTGAGTCATGAGCTGTCGAAGCAGCTCGTGGTATCAAAAAGGCGCGTCATACCCACTCCAAAGGATGATAAGGGAGGGATTTTTCAGTGGCGTCATTTTAAGGATNGGGGGGGGCACCTCTGCCAGGGGAGAAGACAGAATGGACCGCGTCAAGCAGAAAGTAACCAAGCCGATAAAACAAGAATTTGCAGTCAAACTTTTGAATATTCACTGGCCGATTTTCAGAGAATTTTCCTCTCGATGTGATCCAAATTACTTATCTGAAATTTTCCAAGGGGAAAATTCATAATTGGACTACATTTTGTAATTTGGAACTATAAATTCTAGCCCGGTTTAAAAACAACGTATGTGGCATTAGTTTCTCTATGCCCATAAGTGCTTTTCCAGAAGAGCCAGAATTTATAGTTCCAAATTGCAAAATGCAGCCCAATTGCTCTCAAAAACTAATATTTTAAGAGAGGAAATTTGGCAAAGTGCGAACGTTCATACGCCATTTGGTCCGCACCAAGCCACATCAGCTATTGCCAAATTTAATCAGGTAATTTAATTTTTTACGTATAAACGGTCCTGCGGATTTTTGTGAAAATTTCAGTGAATTTTTTGCATAGTACGAGGCAAATCCCTTAAAATTTTCAAAAAAATTCAGGAAGAACGTTCTCTTGTATAAAATTAGATTGCTTGGACAAATTTGCAAATAGCTGGTGTGGCTTGGCTCCTCTCTGCTAAACGCGGTTCATTTCATCCCAGGTACAAGCCACGAGAGAAAGTTTCAGGACAAACTTGGCAACTCCCCTTAGGCAGTTAAGCCCGGTTGCTTGAAGGTTACGAGATCGTAGTTTGGGGCAATTTAAGTGCAGGCATGGGTCAGTTTATTCCGCTGATTAGCGACTAATTATCAAGGGCCCCCGCCCCCCGATCCCCCTCTCTACTTCGACGTCACCCCCGCACGTTACACCGACAAAATTTGCCAGGACTTAAATGAAAGACTCAGACGATTGGGACCGTTGTGCTCCGCACCCTAAGTGAGGGAATTAATTCGAACGAATTCGATATTTCTCAGTGAACCTTATGAACATTCAGAAGTTGTCAAATTTCCTCGGAGAGAACATGTATTTTTGAGGAAAGTCATGCACATTTTTCCTTGAAATTTCCAGATATTTAAGATCAAATTGCGAACCAAATTGTCTGAAAAATTGGAAGAAATATATTCACAATTTTCCCCCTAGATTCGCTTTGTAATGAAGGAATTATGGCAACGTCTGAAGGCTCATACGGCGTTCTTCCTTAGCACGGCAGCGTATAGGACCAGGTAATTGATGTGGGGGAGTTATTATTTTAAGGAGCGGGCGAGAAGGGATGGTTGCCTCCGTCCCCTTCGTATCCAGGGTGTCTACTATCAGGAAAAGCCGGAAAATAAAAAGGAATTCGATGTTATCAGGAAAATTGGTCACAAATGAAGAAATTCTGAGTGCCTCAGGTATTTTTCAAACATTTGATTTAATTCGTCAAATATGTTGATTTCTTAAATAAAACGAGTGTCAATTTGTTCGCGCGGAAAATCGGAAAACCTCGTCTAAAATATTGTGAAAAATCAGGAAAATCCGTATTAAATTCTAGTAGACACCCTGGTATAGACAGTTGCTCTTTTTCTGGGCGTTTTTGGTCAGTATGAAACTATGCGTCTCTTCGCTAGTAAAGTTTACCTCATCAAAAATTATATACCCCATACTCCTCAAATGATGCCCTTGGCTGTTCGATGTATGCTGAACATTTTTTCATGCATGAACCAACAAATTGCTCACTGCTAAAAAGACATAAGCCATGGATATTTTCCCCTAATATTTTCCGATAATTTAGATTAGCGCATATTAATAACTCTGATAAACCGGGAGGAAAATATTTACACGTCTCCCTGAAAATCCATGTTTCATACGGAAAATCTGGCACGTCGGAAGACGCGTACGCCGCGTCCTACCTCATGGCGGTAGAATTGCCATGCTAAACAAGAACGCCGTATGAGCCGTCAGGCATTGCCAAATTTCCTGCGGCAAATCCCGAATGTTCAGGAAAATTTGGGAATATTTGAATTACATTTTGCATTAAGAAACCACTATTGCTGGCCCATTTTAGAAACAACATATATGCCATTGGTTTCCCTATGCAGATATCGACGGTGAAACTACCAAACCACGTATCTCGGTTTGCGACGTCGCAGATTTCCTGTCATACTTTATTTTTTAAATGAAAAACTACTTAACATCTAGTCTTGAAAATTTCTGTGATTTTTCCTCTTTGTGCGGATAAAATTCCGTGAAAATTTCAAGGAATGATATTGATTTGGTCTACTTCAAAAAAATAAAATGTGAGCGTAGATTTTTAAACACCGCAAACGAGATACGTGGTTTGGTAGTTTCACCGTCGATATGTGCTTTTATGGGGAAGCCAGAGATAGTGGTTCCCCATTGCAAAATGTGATCCATTTCTTCTTCGATTTTCAGAGGTTTACGTCCGTAATTCATGGTGTCTAGTTCTTTAAAAACCGGGAAAATCAAGGAATTTGTT